TTCCACAGTTTGTCAAGTTTTTGCTTCACGTTTGGCTCTACAGCTCTTTTTTCCATTGAGTTGTTTAGAGTTGATGCAAGCCTTTTCACGCCAATATTGCAAAGATTTGCTCTGTTTTGAACTTGGACCAATGTTTCAGCAGTAAATTGCTGCTTCTTGTACTTTGCTGAATGTCCCGGCAGAACTTTTAAAAATTTACTTCACTTTGCTTGTCTAAGTTAGACAGTATCTCCTGGAGAGGCATCTTTTTTAGAGATTAAATCAGCCACCTTGTACCTATGATATAAAAGTGAAAATGGCCTTTTGCAAGTACTGACAAACAAATACAGCATCTTTTGTCAGCTGGCTGTGATGATAAAAGTTTGCCACTGAAAACTTTGATACTGTTAATTTCAGGGTAGACTTTTGTTTTTTGATTCAATATATTAAGCTCAATCTGTGACAGATTTTCTTTGAGCTTTGATTTGGCCACCCTATAAATTATACATTAGCAAGCACCAGAATATCTTGTAGATGGCTTAATGGTATTTGAATTGAAATTGTACAAGTCTGGTATCTGTTCAATAATACTAACAATATCAAGTCATTGTAGTTTGCTTCTACATGGATTGCAAATGCTAGTTGGAATTTTTTCATCATTGAAATTAATATTACACTTAAAAATATTCTTGATTCTTTCGATCAAAAAATCAGTTAATACGTGATCACTTTTCTTATAACATAAAAAGCGAACAGATTTTCTGCAATCACCATGATTTTTGCTGAATTATGGATTTTTTGATGAAGACAAATTAATTTTTAATAGAAGTGTTAATTTATTTGTTTACATTGTTTCAGCGGCAAAAATTTGGTGCTAACATATATCAAATTTATTGCATTTAAATTTGAATTTTTATTAAAAAAGGAAATAAAAGTTAAACAATAGGTTAATACAATGTTGTTAAGAGATATTTGCAAAATTTAAGAAAAAACAAAAGGTTTTTTTAAAGTGACTTTTAACAGTGGAAACGCATTTCGAAAATTAAGTTTTTTAGCGTAAATTAGGCAAAAACTTTAAATGCAATTTTCTCCTGTGGAAAATTGCATTTAAAGTTTTAATTTTTGTTTTAAAGTGATCACCATAACCTATAGAATATCAACCCTTTCAAGGGATATTTTGTGTCATTTACGAAGAGGTATGGACCCCTTTTTAGACAACTGTGATAAAGGAACCTATGAATCATATGGCACTTATGCCACATGACTCATAAGTTAAGTATCTTTTAAATAACTACATTTATATTAAATATTTACACTAAAGATATTGGTAAAATTGTAAACATGGTTTACAACTTTAACTATAAAACCTTGTTTTACTTCCTTTTTTAAAATCTATTCTTAATTTGGTTTAAACCAACATTTTTTTACATGATTTAAACCATTGGTGTAAACCTATCAACCTTGCATTACAACAATACAAGCTTTACTCTCAGACTTTTCACACACTTTATAAAATTTTGTCTTTTTTCTACAACTATACTAAATTCTGCATTGTATCATTATGATTTGTGTCTCTTAGGAGCCTATAATTCTTTGCGCCTCTGATGATCTTTTGATAATTCAAGTATGATAACACAATTTATATTTTTTTCAATTTTCAAACTCTGCACTTTATCTTTAAGATTTTCGAGATTTCGTAGATTTCCTATAAATCTTTAGATTTCCTACCAATTATACATTTGCCAATGTCGACCTAACTGCCAACCTGAAAGTGTTTGAGATCGTCAAAAAAATGCCGATCTCATTTCTATGTTTTATGGTCAGACCTTTGTATCAAACATATTTTGCCAACCTCATACCAACTTCAAAAAGATCGAGGTCGGCAAAATATTGCCAACCTCATTTTTCCTAATTCTGAGGGTTGCTTTATGCTACTCACTAATTTTTTTACTCACTTATTTTGTTATCTTGCT